AGGTGACTGCCCAGGGGTTCTCCTGCAGCAGGCCCAGGCTCACGTGTTGCCCATGGGGAGTTGCTGTTCTGTGTGATGCCCAAGAGGGCAGATGGCCCTGGGGCTCAGCCTGAGCAGTGCAGGCAGCACACCAGTCAGGGCAAGGGCCTGGCTCTCCCTGGAGCCCTCTGGAAATCTGTGTGGGGTGGAAGGTGCTTTCTGAACACTGACCCTGTGCCTTTGTCCCTTTGCAGTGGCTCAGAAGGTGGTGGCTCTCCGCAAGAAGCACCAGCTCTCCATCGGCCCCTGCAAGTCCCTGCCCAACTCACCCAGCCACTCGTCTGTGTCTGCAGCCTCCATTCCTTCTGTGCACATCAACCAGGTGGGGAATGGCCACGGGGGAAGCCAGGCACCTCCTGTGCTCTCCACACCCTGGGCTGGTAGCCAGCGGTTCAGTTCAGCCTCAGACTGGTACTGCTGCTCTGGCTGGCTCTTGGAAGGGCAGTGTGGTGTCACCCTGGGGTCTCTTCCATAGCCCAGCTCAGTAGCCAGCCGTTCAGTTCAGCCTCAGACTGGTACCTCTGCTCTTGGAAGGGCAGCGTGGTGTCACCCTGGGGCCTCTTCCATAGCCCCGAGCAGCTGTGGCTGCCCCATCCCTAGGAGTGTCCCATGCCAGGTGACAGTGTCCCAGGGCTTGGAGCAGCCAGGTCTGTGCAAGGGTCCCTGCCCAAGGCAGGGGTGCAGTGAGATGTCCCTGGAGGTCCCTTCCCAGCCAGAGAACCGCGTGGTTCTGTGATTGTGTGACAGTTTGGTGCTCGCCCTGAGGTCAGGTTCCGTGTGTCACCCTTGGGTGTGGCTTGTGTCCCGGGGCTGTGTGTGCCTTGGCAGGCGCAGAGCAGAGCTGTGAGCAGTGTGTGGGAGCCCTGGGCAGCCCAGGGCTGTGGGACAGCTGGGTGGGCACAGCTGCTCAGCTCCTGCTTCCCCGGGGTTCCGGAGGCTGATGGTCCACGCGCCCCTGCATCTGAGGGGATGTACCGTGGAGAGGGGAGCTCAGTGGTGGTGAGCTGAGGAGCACAACAGGGAAAGAGCTTCCCTCCCCTCTGCCCCTGGAAGGGCTCTGTGCTGTTGGTGAGGTTTGCCAAGGTGGGAGGATGGTGATGTTCTGTGGTCCTGGAGCAGAGCTGAGGCAGGACAGGCTCCATGGTGAGTGAGGGGATGGAGAGGAGATCCTTCAGGCAGCCGCCTCACTGCATTCAAGCTCTGCTGCATTCCCACTGCCCACAGATATGCTGGTGGGAGACTGGTGAGGAGGAAAGGAGAGGTCCTGGCCTCCATTGCTCCCCAGGGCACCCAAGGCAGCAGATCCCATCTCTGCACAACTGGCATGTGGATTCACGGATCTGTGACAGGAAACCTGCCTGTGGCTGAGGACAGCACGTGTGGCTGGTGGGTTTGCCATGAGGGATTGCCTCTGGGTGTGCCAGAGCCCCCCAGCCCTGGCAGGACTCTGGGCCCCTCACAGGAGCCTGTCCTGCACACACCTGAGCCCTATCTGCAGCCTGCCTGATTGCAGAGCCTTCTAAGGCTGCACTGCAGGTAGGTGAGTGCAGGTGTTTGCAGAGACCTGTGCCAGCTTCCTGTGCTGCAGGTCACCTGGACACCAGCAAGCTCAGGCAAAGTCTGTGTGCACGTGGGTGGGCTGCTGGGGAGGGCTGCAAGGCCAGGTTCTGTCAGTGTGCTTGTGTCCAGAGAGCTGGGGAAGAGTTCAGTGGGAGACATCCAAGGTGGAGAGCAAAGTCCCAAGGAAATACAGATTTGGGTGTCTCTGGTAATTTGAGGGTTTTATGAGCAAATTGTGTACAGTTTGAGCCTGGTTGGGAAGAGGCCACCTGTGCTGGAAGGGAAGCAAGAGGCTGATGGCCAAGGTCAGCATTTCTCAGGGGAGCTGGACACTTGTTTGGTGTTTTTTTCCATGTCCAGAGTATGAGAAGAGTCCCCATAGATGTGTGTCATGGGCCCTGGCTGTGGCAGGCAGGCAGGGTGTTACTGTGAAGCTGGAAAGCATTCCTGTGTGAGGGATGGGGCTGGCTGAGCCCCGGGCTCCCCAGCTGGAATCCAGCCACTCCAGTGCCTGTGCATGGAGCCTGAAGGGGTAGCTAAAACAGCTGGGAGAGAATAAACCCTGATACAGGAGGAAAATGAGCACTTGGCTGATTTAGCTGAGGAGTGAGTGCAGAGATTGGCCAAACCTGACCTGAAATACACAGGTGTGACATGAAAGAGCTCCTTCAGGAAAGGCAGCACTGAACTAAAGGGTGGAATTAGGACTGGCTGTGGGAAGCAAATTTTGGGAGAATTTTCTAAGTGCATGCCATGAGCTGTGTGAGGATGTGCTCAGAGGGTCCCTGCTCTCCTGTGCTTTCCTCCCCGCAGAGCCCCTGCAGCACGGCCTGCAGTCTGTGTAGGGGTGAGCTCTGGTGCCTGCTCGGGACAGCCCCGG